TCGACCCTGTCGAAAAGCCTCGCTCCGCATCGAACCGCGTATCAAATCACGCCGTATATAGCGTATTAAAGGACAAAAAGCAAAAGACCCATCAACGAGCGAAGCATTTCATCGAGGGAACACGACGTAGGTACGTACCTACGCGAACCATTGTCGCGTTGTTTCGATTTCTTAGAAAAAGTAAAAAGAATAAAAAAAAAAAGAAAGTAAAAGCGTATCAGACCGCACGCAGCATTTCTTCGTCGGATGAAATCTACGTCCAAGGCTGCCTTTCGTCTCCTTTCTCTTCCGCTTTTGGCCTATTTCTGCACTCCTCCTCCTTGCTCGAGAGACTTTGACTTTTTTTCCCGGCATCCCTCGCCGCTGCGCCATCAGCAGCCGACAAATTGATAACCGATAAATCGACAAATTTCACGAGATTAACAACGTCGCGATCGCGTACACGACGACGGTTCAAACCAGTTTACCAAGAATCGGAAGCGATTAAACAGTCCCCCATCTCCTGGTTCGTCTTCGCCGTTAACCAGTCTCTCCGCGGGAACGAACACTGTTCGCCTAAAGTTTTGATTTTCGTCAATTTGTCGATGAACTACTTCCTAACCGATTTCGACGATTTTTGAATATTTTGTAGAAGTTAATATTCTGAACAACTTTTTCCTTTCACGAAAATTTCGCCTGGTCCTAGTTTCTGAGATGTTCGCCTCCGATGATCTTGACCTTGACGTATGTTGTTAAGGTCATCCTTTTAAATTACCTTCAGAAGGTTTTAGCCGCTGTTGTTTGTTAAAAAGTTATTAACAAAATTTGTCATAAACATATTTGTGTTAGCCAAGTCACCACTCACAATAACCACGCACCCAAAACAGGAAAGTAGTGGTGCTGACCGTTTTTTCACGAATATCTTGGAAACTACGGCCGACCGACATTTTCGCGAAAGGAAAAGTTTGTTCAGAATGTTGATTTCTACAATATAAGATCAATGTCCCTATTTCTAATCGTGTAAGAAGCTCTGCTATCGCAGAAATTCATTTTCATTATTTATTTATGCAACAGTCGACAACGAAACTTATTAGATGTAAAATTTAAACTTCCCGTTACAATGAAATTTACATAAAAGTATTTTTAAAAACATTTTCACTTAATAATAGTTGATTTAATATGAAGTGTAAAACATCCCTATTTCTGCTCAGCGAAAATGGAACTGCCAAAACCAAATATTGGCGAACAATATTAAATATTCTATAAGTCCAGGGGTTATAAGTAAATAGGGACACTGACCTTGTTAAAAAATCGTCGAGATCGTTGAGGAAGTAGCTCTTCGACAAGTTCACTTTAACTTTTGTATTTTTCCCCGAACTATAAGGCTCCAGAGAGAGAGTCGCGTCTGTGTGCACGCGATGGGTTTTGCACTACATATGCCGTTGGGGTCGCGCGTCGGTTCTTATATCCGTGACCGCTTAGACCGCTACTTTATCCGGTCGTTTAGAACGCGTTATGCCTGAGACGGCTATTTGTCTCGCGCGTCCACCGCCGTTTCAGGAACATTATTAAAATGGGCTATTAGGTGATTTGCATGCCGACAATAGTAGACGTGGCTCCGAGAAAAGGGTCCCCCCTAGGCGCCACGTTAAACGGTATCCAAGACGGTTCCTTTTTTTTTTTTTTTTTTT